GGTTTACAGAGTCAGCATATTGCCCCCAACAACAATCCGGGTTCTCATTTTACCCACCTCAGAAGGATGGAAGGCTGAGTCAACCCTGAGCTGGTAAGATTTGAACAGCCGAACTGCAGAACTACAGTCAGCTGAAGTAGCCTGCAGTGCTGCATTTAACCACTGTGCCACCTCGGCTCTAAGGCCTGGAAAAGTGCCTGAAATTTTCTTGGCAAGGTTTTTTCAGAAGTGGTTTACAACTGCCTTCTTCCTAGGGCTGAGAGAGACTGACTGGCAGTATATACTATATGATATGTGAAACTAAACTCCATCACCCTACTTGCAAAAGAAAACATAACATATAGCTATCTATTTCGAAGGGTGTACTTGGTTCAGTGCACAGTAATCTGAGACAAACTCCAGAATCTTATTTCTAGTTATTTTATCACTTTCTTGAACACTTGCATCCAAAATGCAATATAAAGTGGTATGATTCCAAAATAACAGCTCACAAATCCATTTGCGAATCATTGCAATGTATACGCAGTACCGCAGCTAAGGAGGAAATTAATGAGTGGAGACTTTTCAATGCCTAAGTGGCAGTGGCTCCCACGGGAAGAAAAATTCTCTAAAAATAAAAAAAGCTTGAAACTACTGCAAGGAGAGAGAAAATTACTTTTGGCAAAGGAACTGTTTTCCCACCCTCTGTGCTGGTAATGATTTAATTGAGTTCTTAGGGTTAGGGCTGTCAACACTATTTCCCTTTCACTCTGCAATATAAGAAGATCTTTGAAATCTCCTATCATCTTTAGTATATTGCTAAATCACTTTCCTTTCTAAACAATTCCAGTTTGGTCCACAAGGAGCACGAAACCTTCACACTCAAATAAAGAAAGGTATGTGGAAGTTGGGTAGCACCATGGAATAGTTCGTAAGTAAAAGAGAGGTTCAGTTTTACCAACAGCCAAACCCTCCTATGGGTCTGATGTGAATGCAAATTTGGTCTAGCAATTAAGACACTAGATTAGAAACTAGGAGATAGCAATAGCACTTAGACTTATATATCGCTTCACAGTGCTTTTACAGCCCTCTCTAAGTGGTTTACAGAGTCAGCCTACTGCTCCCAACAATCTGGGTCCTCATTTTACCGACCTCGGAAGGATGGAAGGCTGAGTCAACTTTGAGCCTGGTGAGAATCAAATGCTAAATTGCAGGCAGCCAGCACTCAGCAGAGGTAGTCTGTAATACTGCACTCCTAACCACTGTGCCACCATGGCTCATAGTGAGATAGTGAGTTGCAGTCCATCCTTAGGCATTAATGCCATCTGCGTGACTTTGGATCAGTCCTTCTCTCTCAGCCCAACCCACCTCACAGGGCTGTCATGGTGAGAATAGAAAGAGCAAGGAGTATTAGGCATGTTTGCCGCTATGAGTTATTTATAAAAATAATAAAGGTAGGAGAAAAGAAATCCTTAAAAACTGCAAGAAAAGTACGACACTAGGGTTAGCCATGACTTCGTTCTGCCTCACATTCACTTGTATTCAGAAGTGAAGGAATCCACAGGTCTTTTAAGCCAAAAAACTTTCACATAGAGTCTGAATCAACTCTGTGTTAGGGACTAATCAAAATGCTTCGGCTGTTTTTATTAAATGTGATTACTTTTCAGGGTCCCCCCCCCTTTCTAGTTTTCTGCTGCCTTCTTTTCATTTATTTAAACAAGGTGTCTGAAGCTGAAAACCAAATAAGTAACCTTAGTGAAAGACTTTTGTGATTCCAACACACAGAAGAGGCAATCTGGATAAAATTAGTGTCAGTTTTCCAAAAAGGAAACGCAGGGTTGGTTCTGAATTTAAAAGCCGACTGTTTCAAGGGAGCAAAATCTTTTGCCCTGTCAAATTCATACAGAAGCTCATTAAATACTCAAAGACCTTTGTGTACCAGTTGTGCAAAACCAAAATATTTGTCCTGGTAAAATGTGTCCACCAATGCCTAAATTCTACTTAAAGTACACATAGCTAACCACTTCCACCCCTAAGCTTACTTTTCTGGGCTTTTCTGTTTAATCTTCCTCTGGCTTCACTGTTACCCTCCCAGGAATACTTCCAAGAATGATGTGCAACCCAGAAGGAAATAGCATTGAATTCTGCTCACTGATGTTTCCGAAGCTGCCATCATTTCCAACCAATTTGATTTAACCTGTAGAATATTATTTAATTCAATGTCTTTATTCCCATTTCTCTGGCCACCCAACTCAAGTGACTCTCAGTAAGAGAGTCACAGGCTTCCCTGTCTGTTCCTATGGCCGTACCGGTATTTGCTCCATTCCCTCGCACCAATTCCAAAAGGGGCAGAGAATCTCAGCCTAATTTTTTTCCCCCTCTCGTAGACGCGCATTTGCGCGCCGCATTTCTGCTTCACCCCGACCATTTCGGTGTCCTATTTTCATGAAATATACCTTTGGCCACCGATCAGGATCCAGATTTGACCTTCAGCTTTTCCTTACATCAACAACCGCGCGAGCCTTTCCTAAAGAAGATTGTTAACCCCCTTTTGAATCGTGCTTTGCTGGCAGGTTTGCTCCGCGCCGAAAATCATCCTAAAAGGCAAGGAACGGCGCTGCTTTCCAGACAAGCCATTCCAACTTTTTCCCTTAGAGGGAGAGGACGGAATAGCAATCGTATTTAGACTTATATACCGCTTCGCGCTGCTTTTTACAGCCCTCTCTAAGCGGTTTACAGTCAGCCTATTGCCCCCAACAATCCGGGTCCCCAGTGAAATCCAGACACCCGGGGGCAACCCTACCTCACGTGAAGGGGCCACCGCTCGCTCGCCCAGCGTCTTCGCTCCTCTGCCTCGTTTTCTGCAGCCGCTAAGGCGAGGCTGTCCCAAAGTGGAGAATCCCAAAATTGCAAGGCTCGCGCGGAGAGCCAGCCGTCCAAAGGGGCAAGCGCGCCCAGCGAGGTCCCGCCGCCTTCAGTTGACTCTTTGCGGGGAAAGGGGTGGTGGCGGCGACGGCTGCAGAGCGGCAGCGGCACCCTCGGAGAGTCCCGGCGAAGGCTACTGCGGCGGGCGGAGGGGGATCCGCCTCGCTAGGGTCTTTCCCAGCCGCGTGGGCGGGGAAGAGCGGCGCTAAACGAGAAGGGGAGGATAGCAACGGGAGGGAGGGCGACGAAGTGGCGGGAGGAGGGCCGGTGGGGACGGCGCTCCCGGAGAGGGCAGCGAGGTGGGCGGCCGCGCTCCCGTAAAGAGCAGGAGCCGTGCGGCTGGACGGGCCACGTTCCCTCCCGACACATCCCCCCAGATCCCAAAGGCGTTTGGCGCCCTTCCGCGCCCTTCATGGAGAGCAGAAAGGAAGGCTGCGCGTTTCCCCCGAGGAACAGGGGGCGCTCTTCTTTTTATGGCGGCGGCTTGCATGGGGGCAAAACCAAAAAAGCAAGCAACCGAACAACGCCGACGGTCGTAAATGGGCTTCTCCTTTCCCAAATTGGGAAATGACTTCCTTTTACAAGTGCAAAACCGTGCAAACGTAATTGCGGAGCGAAATGCGCAAAGCAGGCGGTGCCCATCAACAAGACCCCGTCTCGTTTCCCCTTCATTCCTGCTCGGGGCTCCGTCGTCAAGCCACAATCCAGAGCCAAGGTGGCGCAGTGGTTAAATGCAGCACTGCAGGCTACTGCTAGATCAGCAGGTCAGCGGTTCAAATCTCACCGGCTCAGGGTTG